ATATATTGTATTCTCCTAATATACACTGTATTCTACTAATATATATTGTATTCTCCTAATATACACTGTATTCTCCTAATATACACCGTATTCTCCTAATATACACTGTATTCTGCTAATACAATCAAAGTGTTCATACTTTATTCTCTTAAATTTCATACAGACAATTAGACTGAGTTTATTTTTTTATATGTATTTCTCATTAAAGTATTTATTACACAATTATAACACTAAAATGACATACTCATGACATCATAGGATTGTGAATATTATAAAATTACTGTGGTATTCTTATGGTGGTGACGTCACTACTGTCAATTTCAACTTTCGTGACACCTTTATAGCAATTGTTTTACATATTTGTTGTTTTTTTTAAATAGAACGGAAAATACATCGCCATTTTGACAGATTTGTTAGCTAATTCTGAATTACTACTGACCTCTATATATTATAGATAGGTCATTGCTTTAGCTTCGATCCATCTTAAAAGTTACTGGCAGTTATATCTCAATATTAGTTTGAATCTGAACAGCTACAGTACTGTCATGGCGGAAACTGAATAGGCACAAAATACCACGCTTTAAGCCTGTCTATACTAACCTCCAGGACAGAAGTGCGGCGAGTGTGAGAGCTATGACCAGTGCAGCGGCGAGAGATGCACCAACTGCAACTCCTACCACTTCTCCGTCCACCTCGCATGTTGACCCGTAGTACCCAGATGTACAACTACACATATACACCGATATTAGTCACTGGAACTAAATAATTAAAGAAAAACTATGTGAATGGAAGAAAAAAAATATTTTGCCCACTAGATGGCAGCACCATCGAGAGTTTAAGCACTAACTTTTTTATCGCTGTCGCCAGCGAATCTTTCTACGCGAAATTATAAAAAAAAAACTTAATAAGTAGATTGTAAGTTCTTCTAGACTGTTCTAAATCTAGGCCTTTCAGCGAGATCCGTTCTTATAAAAAAATCAATAATAATTAATTATTTCTAAGATTTTTTTTGGAAATAATAAAGAAAAGTTTTTTTTATTTGCTAGAATGAAGTACAAAAACATTGAGAGATGACGCTAGCGCTACCTATAGAGCACTCAGTTTCTCCCCATTAGAACATTTCCTTGATTTCTGATCAAAGCCATCACAATCTTTAACTCTAAGTGAGGTAAGTTATTTAGTGAAAATCGTGAGATTAAGTGTAACTAATGTGAGAACGAAAGTATTTTGCCAGATATATTTTGGTATTTTAGAGTTTTAGTGTATTTTGTTAGGTATGAGAAAATGTATATATAATACCTGCAGTACGGCTGTCCGTTAGCATATCTACAGACACCGCGGTCGCTGCAGTGCGAGGCGGAGCAGGCGCGGCACTCGCGACCAGCGCGACCTGACCCCTCCGCCGCGTCCAGTGTTGTGTCCGGACACTTACATCTGTTGAGTGAATGAATCGTTCAATTAATGAATATAGAGATTAAAATGAATGGTCCAATGATTGAATTCCAACTTGTGGGTGGGTTTCTGAAATCAAAATCTCCGTGTAAAATATATCTCTTTTTTGTCAAATATGACAGTGATGAGATGTTTATATAGAGATTTTGGTCTCAGAAATCAACGGTAAATGACGTACTTGAAGGCGCCCCACGTGTTGGTGCAGGCGGCGAGCTGGTGACAGTCGTTTAGGTCCGATGAAGCGCATTCATCCACATCTGGAAATAATAATACATTAATTATATTATTATATTAAATGCGAAAAAAAACGCATAATTAATAACTACCAGCTACATATATATATATATAAAATTGGAATGTCTGTATGTGGTATTGAATAAAATCGTATTTCAATACATATTTTGTTTTTAGCTTAACTGATAACTAGAACTTAATTTTTTTATAAATCTCTTTGACTGTATGTCTGTCGGCAATGCCGCATCCTGGGTAATCTCCGGAACGGCTGGACCTATGACGGGAAGTTAGCTGATGGATGCAAGAGTATAGGCTAATTTATTGTACGCCGACGAAGTCACGGGCTACTGCCAGAGGAAATTACCTGCAAGCGGCAACACGCTGCCGGCAGGACTGTCCACCCACAGAGCTGAAGCCCCCACATTGTTGGACCGACGTCGGATGACCCCCAGCAAGTGCTTCTGTATATCTGTTGCCACTGCTGAACGGAGCGTCTCCGCTGTTTCTTGCATCTATACAAATTATTTGAGACTATTACAAAAAAAAATAAGCGACAGGTCTTTTCAAATATCTTGGCGGCTCAAAGTCAAATATTTGGCTACACCTAAAATTGTGTTCTGTACCGCGACTAGCGCAATGTTCCGAGCCGCTATGATATTTGAATATTTCTATTACTGTATATACTGGTAATGAAAAAAAAATAAAGTGTGTTGAATTTAATTCAAGATGTTTCTTTTTACTACTCCCGGCATGTTTGGTACTTCGTATGCATTTTCTTTATTACATGCCGGAGAGAGGGGGACGTCAGTCGATGTTAGACCTTTGGACCGGTAGCACGTGTCGGTACGTGAACTAGCCAAATATAACGCAACGAATGCTACAATTACCCTTGCAATTTACCTATACAGGATTAGTCAAATAATCTAAAAACTCGTTACTTTCAATCGTTCAGAAATTTTTTCATATAAACTTGTTAGCCGTTAAATTGATTAACAATTTAATAACGTCTCATGAAAGTTAACTTAAGTTAAGTTAATAATCTTCATCATCATCATCGTCACCAGCTCGCTATACGTCCCCACCGAGGGGCTCGCAGCCTACCCTAAGTTAAAGGTCAATAATAATACTTCTTACTAATATTATAAATGCGAATGTTTAGATGGATGGATGTTTGTTTGAACGGATCTTGATGAAATTTGGCATACATGTAGAACATAGTCTGGAAGAACACATATGCTACATATTAGAATTTTGCACGGACGGCATCGCGGGCGATAGGTAGTTAAATAAAGCTTACCAAAACAGTATAATTAACGAAGACTCCCTGATTGAGTGGATCACCTTGATGGATGGAATTCACGGAACCGCTCACAAAGTCATCAGAGAAAGGTGTCATAGAGAACGCAGAGTCGATCTAAAAAAACACCATTTTTTGTACAACTCAGGAATCTTATTATATCTTACTTATATTATAAATGCGAATGTTTGGATGGATGAAAGTTTGTAAGAAGTTATTTCTAGAACGGCTGGACAAAAATTTTGATAAAATTTGGCACTCATATAGAACAGTGGTCTAGAGTCATATAGTCTAGAACAGTGGTTCCCAAACTAATTTTGTCTACTGCCCACTTTGAGAATAAATTAAAAAACCACTATAACTTCAAATTAAATTAATTAATTATTGTGACCTATATATGTATATTAACGGAGAATTGTAAAGGAAACTTTTACTATAACCCGCAACTTGAGACCTGCAGCGCTCACAAGGGGGCGTTATCGCACACTTTGGGAAAGACTGATCTAGAAGAACACATAGGCTATTAAGTTTGTTTTAATTCCGCGTGGACGGAGTCGAGGGCGACTTCTAGTAGTGCTATAAAACAAATATTTATAGAGGTAAAATTTAAACACATGATTGTGTCATTATGTTGTTATACATGTTTTTGACAATGAAAATCCAAGGAATGTTTTATATCTGTTGAAATAACTTACCGCTCTAACCGCTTCGTAGCTTAATTGCTGATACGGTTCTGAATCTTTGTCTGCTAATTTATTATCCCAGGCCACCTGGAATATAGTCGTATGGAATTTACATCTTACTAATATTATAAATGCGCATATTTGAATGGATGGATGTTATAAGATATCTCCAGAACGACTGAATTGATCTTGCTGAAATCTAGCATATATGTAGAACATAGTCTGGAAGAACATATAGGCTACTTATTAAGTTTTGGTTTAATTACGCACGAACTGCAAAGCGAGCGACGGCTAGTAGTAATTTAAATGGCGCAGATAAAGTATTTGATGTTAGAAAGATTGGGTCTAATATTTAATCTTAAATACTTTTAAATATAAATTACCTTTCTATCATAAAGTCTGTCTACCCTCAAATTGAGTAACAGGGATACAACACGCCGGCAAGGATCTCTGTGTGTGCGCCGAGCGTACCCCGGCCTGCATTGACAACTGGAAATACCTGCGAATTAAATCAAATACAATAAAATCCAAACCACATTAAATCAAGTATTATTAATAAGAGAGAAAGGAAAAATTCATGGTATAATAACCATAGCGTTTTCAAATTTAAAGAAATTTAACCGATTGAATTTATCCGAAGTTTTTACGGTGAAGGAAAACATCGTGATGCAATCTCGACACATCAGCGAAGGAATTCAAAGAATTGAACAAGCCAGTGTTGAATATGGCCTTAGTCACCCCTAACTAAGGGTAGGCTAACCTAACCTAACCCTTCGGTGGGGACTGATGTGACTGATAGTGAGCTGATGAAGAGATTGAAATTTTTCATAATATTGTGATATACATAGAAAACATGAAAAGTAATGTCACTTATCAATATTAAACGCTATGACAGTCTTTATAAGAATCATAATATATTTTTGTCTTACCTGACTCAGTCCTGCACTTCTCGTTCTGAGCCTGATCGCAAGTTGAGTCGTCACCAACAATACACGTGTCTATCCTATTCACGAGCAATATTCAAATGCATTTAATAAGTAGACCACAATCAATCCCTTTACTTATCAATTTTTAAGAATTTTAGAAAGTAAAAACTTGTAGTAGTGTAACTGAAAGATGTTATGTATAGAGATGATGTACATTTAAATATATAATGACGTCATTGAATGAAAAGCAGAAATAATTTAATGTCATGATAATTCAGTTTCCAGCTCACGGAGAAACTAGTTTTTTTTTGCTTCTCATATGTCTGTGTGACTTCACCATTACGTAGGTTTTTAGTGTTATAAAACTTTAATAATTTACAGTAATAATAAGTAATTCAAATTTTTTATTCATACAAAGAAAATTTTATTGAAATTTAAGTTTAAATTGATGTTAAATTTAGGATCTGATTCAGATGTCTTTTGCTCACCTCACAGTGGGTTGTGGTCTGCGGTACGTTTGGGGGCGGGTGTGTGGTGCGTGTGGGAGATGAGGGGGGTGCGCCGGATTGCGGCGTGGCGGGGGTGAAGGCACGTCGTCAGCTGGGATGGCCACACCGGTTCCAATTGCTGCTCCCAATGCTGGTTGCGGCGACTGTGGTGGTGGTGCTACAAAAGTAAACTATGAGATACTGTCGCTAGTGTTCTTGTAAATAATGAAGAAAGAGTTACCGTGAGTTTCTGAGGTCGAAATTCCGGTTTAAAACATATTGTTATCGTTGATATTTTATACAGAAACTCTATGCTCTCAGAAACCAACGGTAAGAGGATGCAAAGTTAACATTCTCGTAGAAATTGAACTAAAAATGTTTGAAGAAGGTAGCACAGGATTTTATAAAGTCAACAAAATCCTGAAATTACAATAAATAAAATATTGCTAATTTTACTTTTTCTACAAATAATTGCACTAGCATCACTATTGAAGAATTCAATAGCACAATATAACAATAGGAAGAAATGATTAATAATATAAACTATCACCTAATAACTCACGTGTATGATGTGGTCCAGCTTGCACTTTGGTGGGCTGTATACTAGCTGTACTGGAATCGAACAAATTGAGGTACGTCCTCTTGCCATCGATTGACACGAAACCTTGGGACCCGGCAGCGGAGACTATGATGTCATCAGGATCATTCGCTGCGGCGTGCACATTCTGGATGTGAACTGGAAAAAAGAATGTAGATTTTTAGTTTATTGTTTAGTAGAACCTTTGTGCTGTTGTTTTATTTAAAAAATGAAATTCAAATTTAATGGCAAAAGACGATCGAGTCAGCTTTATCTTGAAGAATATTGAATAGCGATTGGGAATTCAATACAAAAATGTATTTGGTCTATAGAACTAATCTTACCAGAGGCACCTCCTTTCTCGCCCGGTCCTTGTATAGCAGAGACTGTAACATCGAATATTTCTCCATATCCCGGTAGCTGGGGCTCGTGTGCTGTGATCACAGAAGCTTCAGGTCTGTACCGTGAACCGTGTGGCTTGAAATCAGGATCATCCAGAACTATGCCAGGTCTAGGCCGGTAAGGGTGGTATGGTATACCTTGAGAAGCTGAAAGAGGAAAACTACCTTAAAGAGCCGTTACTTTTAACATTTAGCTCTAGCTTTGTCACATGCCTCGAAATTTATTAACTGTATTAAGTAAATAACGATCCAAAGAAAGTTTTTTTTAATTTCGCGCGGACGGAGTCTTGGGCTGCTAGTATTGTATAAAAATGGCAGTTTTACTTACGTGGCAGCGGTTGTGAATTGATCGAGGATGATTTGATGTCTTCATTAATACTCGGCTCTATAACTGCAGGAACATGACTTACGAGACCTTCGGTAGGTGTGGGTGAAAGTAACGAGCTGGTTGTTGAACTCACGTCCGATATAGATGATTGTATAAAATGCTCCGCTGCGGTTTGATTCTTCGAATTCTTGATTGGTTTTTCTTCTACAACTTTTTGTTTATCTTTGGTTTGATTATCCTTTTTATTATTGAGTTGTGCATCTTTTTCCTTATCTTTTTCTGGTTTGTTAATAAATGGTTTCTCCGTTGTGGGCTTCTCAGTGGTTGTACGAAATTTCTCTTTCGGTGGTTGCGTTGGTGGATGTGTGGGAGGTTGTGTTGGTGGCGGTTTTGTGGTTGGCGGTTGCGTTGGAGGTTGTGTTGGGGGTTCAGTTTGTTTCTCGGTCGTCGTCGTTTTCTCAGTCGGTTTCTCAGTTGTTGTCGTTGTCGTTGTAGATGTTGTAGTAGTTGTTGGTTCAGTTGTTGTTGTTGTGGTTGTTGTTGTTGAAGTTGTAGTTGTTGTAGTAGAAGTTGTCGTATCTTCTGAGGCAAATTGAATTTCTTCATCAACTTCTGGCGTATTTGTTTCTGGTACGTTTTGAGGAATCGTTTCCTTATCTTCGTGGTGTATATTATTTTCTAAATGACCACTTTCATTTTCATTTACTACTTCTTCAGGATCACCATAATCTATGTTAGGGATATCAATCGGTGGAGGAGGTGGAGTGGGTTTGTATATTTGCATACTAGGGTTCGGTCTCCTATGAGGTGGCCATGGCCGAGGTCTCAGCCAAGGAGGCGACGGTCGACGATACCCTGGTCGATGAGAAGTCATTGGTGGAACAATTTGCTCAGGTAAATTGACACCATGATATGGCGGACGATCGAAAGGGTAGGGAGGAGGTGTTGGATGGAATGCGAATGCTGGAGGTGATACGTTTTGTTCGAGATCCGGCAAAGGGGGAACGTCCGATATTTTAGGCGGTCCACGGTTGTTTATTCTAGAAGCCATCGGTCGCCCCGGTCTGCCATTTAGCAGCTGGGTATTCGCTTGAACGTTAACATTTCCGTTTAATAATTTAACAATTCCTGTAATTATATTTTGAATCTCTGAATTTTGTCGGCCTTGTTCTCTATGGGTAGCTGTCGCAAAAATCGGTTGCACTGCAGACGGCCGTACTTTGGGCCCCGTAGGAGCGAGTGCGCGCCCCTTCGGGACCCTTTTGGCTTCCCCCGGAAACTTAAAATTAAGTTTATCACCAAATCCTTCAGAGGATACGAACATTTCCTCATCTTGATCGTGTAAAAATACTAGAGTTTTCGTTGGTGTAATGTCATAGTACTTTCTCTTATTATGAAGTTCTAACTCGTTGTCGATTTCATTGTGATTCGATGTGGGTATTTCTTCCATATTAATAGACCTTGATTCTCTGTCATTCGGATCGGCGGATCTCGCTACTATGAAATGATTATCTACTTCTTCCTCTCCATCCACAATTTTTTCTAGTTCCGATTCTAGTTCTACATCAAATTTGGCACTAGGTTCTATCCTAAAAGCTAAGTTTTCTGTGTTTGTTGTTCGTAATACGTCGTCTAGATTTAATTTTTCGTTGATTTCAGACTTTGGTGATAGTTGTGATATTGTGTATGTTTGTTCATAACCTGAAACAAATAAATGATATACATTTTATTTAAAACTTATTGACATTCTTAAAGAACCAGGCCCTAAGTTATTATTATGTAGAAGAATATCATCTTCAGTAAAATGAACAAATTTACTTGGGTCTAGAATCTATTTAAAATACGAAATAAACATCCATAAAGAGAATCCGCTTATAACAGTTGCGACTTGAAATTCTCAAGAAAATTACTGTTCCAATCCCAGACATGTCTGGTTCCGGTGCAACTAACTGAAAATAAGCTATTACTAGTTCTTGCAGCTCGTTCCACGAACTTAACAGTGTTAACAGACATAATGCGAGCTCCGTGTGACATAATTTGACGTGTGACATAACGCCAGACAAGTGTACGGTACTGTAAAGGGAACAATAGGACTGCTGCACGTAACAGAACACATTGCGACTGATAATCAAATTACTCGTCACTTTCACTAGCACATATGAGTGACTGTTAACTGTGGGTAGTATTATTATTTAAATGATTATTGTCTAAAATTAGTATGTGTAATTTCTATACCTCTAGATACATTTTCTACGTGCTAGAAGCCTAATTGAAGTCCTGTTCGCCTTCCTCGGAAGAGATGAGAATATGAGTTAGATTTAGCATAGAAGGGGACGCGTAGGATGAATTAATATCCTCTGTTTATGCGTCCCATCCTCTCACGATTATAGGAAGAATGCGGCAAATACATGGGCAACGATTGCTTTGCTTTTTTGGCGAATTCAATTGCACGTTTGCCACTTTATACTGTAACAAATTTAGATATATTCTTAACATAGATTGTCAATTTATCACAATAAACAAATCTATCTGATTTTTTTCATCAAAATTAACAATTAAATTCCATTACCACCGACAGCTGGGTACCAAAACGTAACTTGAAATAACAAAAAAGTTCAAGTCATCATGTACACCCGCCCACTAAGTAGAGACTCCATCACTAGAGTATATGGTACAAAAGTAGCGTATACTGGTTGTGCTACCGTACGTACTGTTTCTCCGTCACGGTCGAGCGACGTTAAGTATCGGAAGATGGAGGTTTCTATTCCAACGTGTGTAAAGAGAAATGCCGAAATACTCGAGCCGGTGAATATTCAAGTAATTTAAAGTTGTATTATTAATAATTTTACCAAGGTTACCAATTACTTTAAGATATACTAGGCTTTGCATTGGAGATGCCGGGACACTGACAATCGTACCCTAGCTGTTTTAAGTCATTACCCTGTCTTTTACCCAAAATGCAGGGTATTTTACGAAGGTTCCACCAACCTTATACCAAATAAATTCCTGCTTGATACCTTCACGCGTTTTTTGAGAAAAAGGGTCTTAACAGACAGACGGACGGATAACAAAGTGTTCCTATAAGGGTTCCGTTTTTTTCCTATGAGTTACGGAACCCTAAAAAAGGCTTATGTATTTTATAATATTGTTACGACTGTGATAAAACAACAAAATATAAATGTTAAAGAATGAACATAGAATTTCGTTAATAACTGAATCACATCTAATTTCCTTGTTATGGTTTTAGCATATAAGAAGGGTTCTATAAGGGTTCCGTTTTTTTCCTATGAGGTACGGAACCCTAAAAACCTTTCTCCCAATTTACCAATATCTTTGTCTCGATCTTGATAAAGATAATGTTGCGCAAAGGGAAATCGTATTATTATAATTATCGTTAGATCATATAATTTCTTGTATAATATAAAATTAACACAATATGGAAATGTTAACAACCAGTTTATGCCCTATATGGTGAAAGTCGCATTTCGGTAGTTTTGAAGACTTTCTATACTAAAAAAGTGTTATATAAGTTACGATCATAATATCATGTTTATTATATTTGTTGCTAATTTACAAATCTATGTTACATAACGATTTTTTTTGTGCCATGAATTTAATATGAGATATAATAACTATCTGAAGTCTTAAATCTATGATATTAAATAAAATGGTACAAACGAATAATTAACTAAAATATATTATTAAAAGGAGACCCTTTAGGCAAGGTTCCGAAGATACTGGCAGCGTTCTCCCTTTGAATAGCTATACTAATTCTTTGTCCGAGGTAACTGCCAGCTCTTCGGTACCATGTGATGTCGATTAACTTTTTTGATATTTCCTTAAAAAGCCTTAAAGCGCTATCACCCCACGTACCAAGGGTCTCGACGCCGAATGGGACAAAATCATATTCGGAGCCTAGACCCCTGTATTTGCTTGCTTTAGCATTTTCCGCCGCTTCACAAGCCGCACCCGCTCTGTTGTTGGTTCCATGTAGATAGGGAAGGGGCAGCGTGTCTGAACAGGTTGCATCCCAAACCAGCAACCGACCCATCTTCCATGGAATCAAACTCATACCGTCAGGATTACATATAATTACAACATGCGAATGATAAGATTGATTTGTTTGTTTGTACTACTAACTGGTAAACGGAACTCGCTGAAATTTGGCATAGATGTAGAACATAGTTCAGAAGGACACATAGACTACTTATTCTCGTAGATGGAGTAGCGGACGACAGCTAGTTTATTATATTTAGCTTTATTTGTATTAATAATAAATATTCTTTAAAACTTTGTAAACAATGTACAATCGTTTCTCTTTAACAAAACTGATACTAGAATACGTATAAATACAGCTATCACAACAGTGGAGTTCAACGGTTAGATTGTCCACAGTGTTGATATTATTAAAACGATGACATTTCCAAAATCCAGTTGCAATCAAGTTTTTAAAGTCCTACTTTTGTCATATCGAAAGGTTGAAAACTAGTTGTGTTGACTGCTTGTATAATGTTGAATAGTAAAGACACCTGTTCAGTTGATTGCTGCGATGTGGCCCCATTCTATAGAATGCAGTAGATTCGTGATAAACATATATTGAGGTTAGTTTTGTTATTAAGTATATAGACTACTTGAATATTCATATGCATATGTACTTCTCTCGGTGTATAAATTAACATTAAGAAAAAGTTATATGCTGAGAGTATAGAGCTGATATAAAATTATTTGAACTAGTGTTATGATTCAACTAGTTGTCGCCCGCGATTCCGTCCCGACTTAAAAAATAACTTAATAAGTAGCCTATGTGTTCTTCCGACTATGTTCTATATGTATGCCAAATTTCATCGACATCAATCGAGACTTTAAAACAAACATCCATCCATTCATCCATAAAAACTTTAGCATTTATAATATTAGTATTATAACAAGACCAAGAATGATACCTTTTAACTCATGTTTTCTAGACAAGTAAATATTTGCCTGTGCTAGTCTAGTCAGTATAGTTCCACAACCCGTGTTTCATTGTACAAGCAATGAGCTTTGTCTATTATTGATAAATAATGGATATAAAGGATAAAGGTACAGATACAAAAGGATCATAGACTCAACATCAATTGTTATGAGTCATTAACTGTTTATCACACCTTGACTGGACGGCCATTATTCATTTAGTAATCCTATTATCTCCTATTCAATTGTCATTAATAATGAAATACGTGGTTCCTAATAAAGGTACGCATCCATTGGTCTGCAACGCACCGCACGCACGGATTAAACGATTTTGCTTTGTCTTGATGCAGGCGGCACGGATGATAGACGCATCGCTATAAAGCAAACTGAAATCCGTTGCGGGCCGTGCGTGCGGTTCGTCCGGTGTTGGACAATGGACACGTACCTTAAGAGCGTCTTGGTATTGTAAACAAACAAACGTCATTCTCCTAAGACGGCCATTAAACTATTCCATATTTTTATAAGTGGAAATTGTTACCTCTACTGACATGATATTTGTATTGCATATAGTCGTCCCTTTCATTCTGTTTGCCAAAACAGGGAAAACAATATAATTACAGACGAAACCAACTTTTAGATTACCATCTATAAGCTCCTTACATCCATTCTGAGGATCAAAATTGAAGTACAAATTTCCGTAAATAACCTCTTGTCAGCGACTCAGAATGATTCCGTGGTACCAAAGATTGCCACGTCATTGACATGACAGTTTTTTTTTGATAACAGTATTTGACAACTTTGTCGTCGATTTATACAAATAAGCAATATAAGATGACAACTGCAAAAAGTTGATTAGAAATTGTCCAGGTTAATGACCTTAGAAGTTAGCTGGAAAGCTTAATATTATGCTGCATACTTTCTACATTGATTTTATTATGAAATGCAATTTACATACTCTCAGAGACCGGGGAAAGTATAAATCTAAGTATAATATTCAATAAACTAATCTTAATAATATAATATTTCATGATTAATCCGACGTTCTTACGATGGAGGAAATCATTGTGATGCAACCGGCATATCGGAGAAGAAATTCAAAGAAGTTAATCCGCATTCTAGAACTGGACGAGCCACAATAATAAATTAAATAAATAGATTTCCACTATAATCTAGACAATCAATGTCTGAATAAATATATATTTGTGTTAATATTGAAAATTATTTTGGAACTTATTAATGATTTTTTAATACGTCATTAAAATAGTATCGAATGGAACGTGATCTTTAAAATTCATTCTTAACACACGTCGCACGGCGATTGAGGTCAATGACCTCATAAAAAGCTTCTAAAATGGCTACCAATTATATCTACATCAAACATGTTAAGGTATTGAGGGCTGTAGATGACTCAGCTATTTTGTAAATGCCTATTTCGTATACATTTATTTATATTATATATTTATATTTATCTAAACAAAACACAAAACATGTAACATATAGTTAGATGTCGATCGCTAGTACATTACATTATGTAAATAGCAAACAAGGGCGTTTTGGGTGTTTCGGGAGTGTAAGCCTACAGTAATTTAGTTCTATTGTGACTCGTATCCTAAATGGTTAAGGCAATTTTAAAGATTGTAGTCATTAGATTTACACTTACTTAAGTCGTAAGTTCAAAGAAGAAATTCAAAGATATGTGTGAAGTCAACCCGCACTGGGCCAGCGATATTGACTATGGCCTAGTCATCCCAACTTAGGGTAGGTTCCGAGCTCCTCAGTAGGGACGTATAATCAGCTGATGACGATACTTAAGTCATAAGCTGCATGGGGACAGTTATCGAAAGTATACTGTAACTGTTAACCGATGGCCGCGGACAGGTCTAGGCGCGGCTGTTAGCTATTTGGGTTCCTCCGTTATTTTACACAACATACCTTTGGATACTTAAGTGTCAATTTATTAAGAAAAATCTTTATTTAAGACACAGTCCCTTTAGGAACTGTGGGTTTATTAATCTACACATATTAATAAAATTGGAGTGTCTGTTATTAAATAAAGCCAATTTATTTGAATCGAGAATAAAAATCTCGATTTTGACGGGAAGGAAGCTGATGCACACGAGCGTATTGCTACTTGTTTATTTATTTATTCTGCGCGGACGAAGTCGGGCGACCGCTAGTCTAGATTAAAATGCTATAATGTTAGTATTTTATAAATATTCTTAAAAATAAACTATTCCTGGTATGAGTAACTAGTTGAATCTTCTAATACAAATAAACATTTCAAAACCTTGCATTTTCGGAGGAAATGTGTGTCAAGAGCCAAGACGAATTATAATTGTGTTCGAAAATTGTTCTCATTCCTACAAGTATACTGCAATAGTCATTTATGTAGTACAATTGTGTGAAGCAGCTATGATGAGATGTATGTAATGATGGGTTCTCATTACTGAGACACTTGTACAGTCAGCTGCATAAATATTTATACATTTCCAAAATTTCAGAATTTACTTACTTATTAAACATAATTAAGTATTCGCCAACAGCAACTATTCATAGTTGGAAGCATAATGGCGGATACGCGGATATATATTTTTAAAACCAAAGGCGTATACAAGTTTCTGAAGCTATGTATATGTATATTTATTTATGTAGCTGACTGTACATTATTAATATCTCAGGTTTTTTTCTATAAGAATGGACAAGGATGATCAACATACGTGTTAAGCGCAGTGAAATAGATATATTATCTGTCTTTCTCTAAGTATCCCTACGAGACAAGCGAAGCCTGTACCGTGGTTTACTTTCACCTCGGATCACGAAGGCTTTCGTTTTTGTCTAACCGAATTGTTGCCTTACTAATTGAGTGTAATATACAATGACTAATATAAACTATATGAGTATTATTTGATATTTTGTTGCGACAAGTTATAAAGTCTAAAGGCTAAACATACACGGATGGCAATCGATTGCTTGAAGCTGACCGTGTACGGCAGCCTTATAGAATAATTACGACTTGTATTTAATAGGTTGGATATTTATATTACTTCAAATTTTGTAATCCAAAAATGTCATTATCTCTTTGCTATTTATGTGACCGGAAAAACAAAATTGTGTCTTGCAATTCGATTTATTAAAAAAAAAAACAATTTATTTATACTATAAACATAATACGTATCTTTTTACATTTTAAATGAATCGTAACTCGTACACATAATACGGATGTCCGTAATAGCTTTTTCATACCATCAATAATGATATAAAAAGTTTTTATAAGCTAATGTAAGAATTTGGCGATCTGTAGGCGATGGGGGAACGACCCCGAGTCCTTGAGACCGTCTCACGACTCTAAACAGCTCGAGAAAATTGACACGCATTAAGGTAGCGATACACCGAACAAGTATGACGTCATAAAGTGGCTTTTTTAACTTTAGTAAATTTCATAATATACTAATAACGCGAATGATACATTTAGATTAAATTTGACTTATATTTACTATTAGTAGGCTGTGCTTAGTAAACATAACTTAATTCTGTACTCAGAAACGTTTAACGGTGATATAAACGGTCCGTTTAGAGTAAGGTGGCCTCTAGATTTAGTATAATCTATCTTAGTGCGGCAGTTACATACATAATATGTAACAAATACAAACATAACTTTATCATCATACAATTAAATATACATATAAGTACTTCGCTAGCAGAAAATTCTATTCTTCATCTTGATAACTGAACAGTATATTTCAATCCATTGAAATACACAATAGTAATTGTGATGTATTTTACACGTTGTGTGTCACTGGCCTTATCGACATTATTTGTGTCGGAGTAAGAGGAACCGAAATGCTTTGTTAATTCTTCATTTGATAGTTTTTTGTTAACATTTCTTGTACCGTGTTGTGGCTGATGTAATATATCTAGAGAAAATTACATAAGTAAAAATTATACTCTACTATTGGGAACATTGATGTAAAATTACTTTGTTTTTATCGAAAACTGGTAGAGGTACAATTTTAAAACAAGATGTATATAGTACTCGCTTCATGTCTTTAGATAATTTCTTGTACATTTACGACTGAACATAATAAACAATCCCTAATATTTTTTTATTATTTGTATCGATCGGGCTTTAAGATAAAAAAAGATTGCGAAACAAATTATTTAAAAAAATAACTTAGATAAGCAGAAACGCATAAGAACGATTATTGGGTTAAGCCTTAGTGTTTATTATTATCAATAATAACAACATTAACTTGATGCAAAAACTTAAGTAAGTAATAATGGCAAGCAGTGTAAGGTAAGTGATGCGCGTCCCACAAACTACATTGCACCTTCAATAACAACCTCTATAGCCTACTTAAGTAATAAGTTAATCGTTTTTATAACGATCTTTTGAAGGTAATGTTAAGTTACTCTTATTTGTAGAATTAATGTCCGTAATTTTTATCCTAATATAGTCGTTTCTTTGACTTTTACGATATTGTAACATAGATAAGAAAATGTGCAAAATTTAAATAAATTTAAGCTAAATTCAAATCGAAAGAAACTACATTAAAACATTATTGCAGTACAAAATAGATCAATTGTCACATGTAACATAATATGTTATACGATAAGATGTAACATGTTACAAAAATAACAACTCACCATTAACAACTTGTATGAGTATCGCGAACAGCGCTGCGCAGAGCCGGCAGCGCGTCCGCCATCGCCCCCTAGCGGCCATTTTGTTTTGGCGGCAAACTTGACAGTTCACTGACGTCCATCCGTACCACTCCACATTACTTACACAAAAAACTATCCGAATTTTATTCACGTAAGATCACATTTGTTGTTATCTGTAACAATGAAAAATATGTTAAAAATGTATGCAACTTTGTAAAAATTAAAAGAAAGATAATCTCTGACGAAAGACGTAAAATTACTGAGTGTCATTTTTGTATTAAGGGTTTATCGTATCTTCTCAATCGTACTTTTCCTCAATTGGTCTTAGATTGATTTTGTCTAATAAGATCATTAGTTTATTGCGAGGAATACAATGGCATTTTGCCAATTGTAAACTAAACAGTTAGTTTACTATAACATTATACAAACAGCAATTACCTTCCAACCAGTACAAAAGACTTCAACGAGTCGTTTAGAAAATCTTGCAAATCATGCATTAATTCTTAAAGTTTTTTGGTAATATTTCATTATTTTTTGTTAATTTGAACATAAACACTTAATATATTTGAAGTTTAATTTAGTCAATTTTATTGTCATTCTTATACAAAATCTGCAGGTAAACTATACAAAAAACGAACCAACATTCACGTTAAACTACGTAAGTTAAAAATTATCAGTAGCTACTGTGGTTTGACCTACTAACATGTTATCATGCAAAAACGTAACGTGAAGAGACGTACAGTCACCTTCATTCGCGGTAATACAGTTACAAATTACAATAGATTTCGCCACTTCTTTTACAAATACATATTGTCATGTCGAAGTTTAAACGAATGTGGGTTTACCTGATCTATACCCCTGATGGAATACTATGGAATAAGATATGGTTATAAAATTTACAAACATTTACATCTTTAAAGGTGTAACACCAGCAACATGCCCAACTGTACCGTCAAGGTACCCATTTAGGTGAAGTGTCATCTGACGTTCACAATGCAATTCGGTCGAAAAATATTCATAACAATATACATACGTGCTAAATTATAGTTCTTATTAAAATATACTATACGATATCTGAAGTCTGACTGTACTTATCGGTAACGATGTCAGAGACTAATATTGAATAATAAACACATAACAGTCACAACCGCATTGAAATGTATTTGGCGTGACCAAATATATCTATAGAAAACTGACTGCCATATAAAATATAGGATGTGGTAAGTGTACATAATATTTGTGTACATAAGAATCCTGTATAAAGCAATCATAGGGTCAAAAAACGTCTATCAAAGACTACGATAGTCGCCGAACATCCCATCGTTTACTATTTATCCAATTTGTAAAATTCTGTCTGTCTTCATCCATACATAAAACGGCTCGACTGTCGGTACTTTTCTGAAAGCTAGCTAATTAGGGCTTCGTGATAGATCTACTTACGATTAATGTATTATAGTATAGTAGTAACCACATGAAAATATGTGGCGAGTTTAAAAGACGTTTAAGTATACATTTTTACTATGATTTCTATTATTATAGTTTTTTTTTGTAATCTGTTATTCGGCCAGAAACTTAATGCAATAACCCAGTTAGAGTACAAACTTAGAATAAAAAAGGACCTGTGAGTAAGCAAGTAGGGATCGACCGCGAGCTCGCTGCGACATATTTGGGGAAGGAAACCATTAAAATGTTCAGCCACGTTACATAATATAAAAATATGCAAGTCAATAGCAAGAAAGTAAAGTAAGAGAAATTTTATTTTCACTAATAACATAAGAAAGTTCTAATTTATTAATGAAACTTAACAGATATTATGTAACTTTATAATGATACTAACTGCCGCCCGCGACTTCGACAGCGCGGAGTTAAAAAAAAACGAAATTAGTAGTCTGTGTGTTCCTCCAGACTATGTTATATATCCATGACAAATTTAATCGAGATCCGAGAGAGCTTGATCTGTTCTGGAGATATGTACGTTATAACAAACATCCATCCATCCATGTAAACTTTCGCATTTATAATATTAATAAATTTTACATTTTTTTTATTTGGCTTTAAGCTTTAAATTTACGAAGAACTTTAACCAACCCAGCGCGTCTCGCCTATCCTAAAGTATCTTTAGGATAGGCTTGACGCCGTCTGTAAGGTGGTATAAACTAAAATTATTTTTTCTTTGGATATGGTACATATAAATTTGTATTTACACCTTGTAATAATAGAAGCGGCCTACAGTTAAAATGCAAAGTATAAAGGACACATATTCGCGAGTCGTGCCACATCTAGTAGCTATATACGAATACCTAAGTAATTGTTAATTCACGTGGCAGTTCGAGCGTACAGTAACGGTGGCTTGATCAAACGTTGGCGTGTGTGCCCAATGTTTGCTCAAACTGTCCTGGAATGCTGGCCTAGATCCTACGTTGCATTATAGAGTTATAGAGGTAACACCTATGGGGTCATCCATTATGTATATGACATTAACTCTGTGTATATTACAAACAGTATACACAGAGCTATATAGTATGAGAGTTATATTTAAATGATATAAAGAGAAGACGTATAGTGATAGGGGTAAAGTGACCTTATTTGATTGACGAAAGATAGGTCTATTTGAAGGACGAAGATATACGCTGACTTTATGACATAAATTTAAGAAATCGAGATAATATCGATTACGAGAAAAACAATTATTTTATTCTACATAGTTAATTTTCGGCTTACTATTAAATCTTTATAATAGACATTTTAAACTGTTTAAGATAATAAATTATTTACTTTAACAGTTAATATAATGTAAAAGAGAGCGTATAATCTAGTTAAGCCTGCTAATTACTGTACTCATTCAATATCACTTCACTTATATTTTAGTTATAGTTAAGTTTAGGTTAATTATAGTTAATGTTCTTCTTTTTTAAAGTACTACGTTACCTTAATATATCAATATCAAGTACATGAGAGAAAAATACAAAAATGAGTAATATCTTCACGGCGTATACGTACGAGTGTAGACACGGACATGCGTTAACGGTACGACAGGTGGTGACCTACATACCATCCGCGCTGAGCTATCGACTAACAACCCGCCTTGTTTATTGATGCTTACGTGTCGTCTTTAAATATGTCCGTGAGGCTTCACTGACAATACTTTAAGACAGTAAATTGAACTATCTGAAACTAGCTGTCGCTTGCGACGCCGTCCGCACGGAATTAAAAAAAAAGTTAATTAGTAGTCCATGTGTATGTTCTACATCTAAGAAGAAAGTCAGCGAGATTCATGCATTCGTCCTGGAGATACCTTCAGATGGAGATAACAAACATCCATCGACCCCTCCAAACATTCACATTTATTGTATTAGTAAGGAGTAAGAGGTGTACGATAGCGTTATCCTAATTTTAGTCAAACTAGACTTGATACCTTGACTCAGATGAAGATGTCGAGGACAGAGTGAAGTGGAAGGGACTGATTGGAAAATCCACCACCTTGTGGGATACGAGCTAGACAGAGTCAGAGTGATACTTGATACCTAGACACACCAAATCGTGGAAAACAATGTGGTTCGTGTTGACCTGTGTACATAAGTTGAATATCTTCATTTTTCATACATCATCGTCATTTGATTCGTTATCACACAACAGTGTCGACACTAACTCGAGTCGTCATTGTTAGAAGCGGATCTGCGGCTGCGATGTAGCACGGTGCTATTAAGCATGAATCAGAGATCCGGCCGAGTTGCAATAGTTGTCTTGCGCAAGTGCTGCTCGCGAGTTGTGACGCTCTACCACTGTACGAGCTAATTGTCTGTCGCTACGCTTTTGTTTTGAACATCTTTAGTAATTCGCTTTTGTAACACAACTTTTGAATTATTTTGTTGTTATTACCTTATCAAGATTCATTTATGAGCATATTTAAGGATAGAGTCCGTAGAAGCACTGCTTTACGAATATTCCACTTGACAGGTGCAATACCACGACTACACAAATGACGAGCATACTCCGCCTGAAGAGTGTTATGCACCGGAGACCAAATTTTAATCCCCTTACACTTCAGATCATTCTCTAATATGATTAAAGGAAAAGGGTGGTGGATATGTTTCAACGATCTTGTTGCGTTTGTTGTTGCTGCCAGGACATATTGTAAATAAAAATAAAATAAACCGGATTATAAAGTAATCGGAAGGACGTAACTCGTCCATCGTTCAAATTGTGCAACGTTCAGTGAATCACTCAGTGCTCAACTATTACATAACAAAATGACGTACGAGATATTTGTTGCGGGCGGAAAATAAATTAAAAGGACAAAATTCTCATGTTGTTACTTTACTGAATTTTTATAAGTTTTTATAAGTTAGCCAATTAAGCGTTGGTTTCTGAGCCCAAAATATCTGTACAAAATCTTTGATATGACAAATATAGATAAATATATGATTTATACAGAGATTTTAATAAGTAAAACTTAGTAGTAACGTGGATCTTACTATACGTATATGTTATGAAACCTAAACAAAAAAATAAAAATATTTTTATGTAAAAAGTGCAAGTAAACAATTCTCTTATTATAGTAAATAAAACCTGAGCCCGCATATGTATTCCCTTTGCATTTAAAGTGAAAACTATTACAGTGATAGTGCTATCGTAATTGGATGTACAGTCAGCTGCATATACATAAAGACAGCTTTAAATACTTGTATAAGGCTTTGAGTACAAAAATACGTATACACTTATCCGTCAATGACATGTATGGTCTGAAACATACGGACGGACATATGAATATATTATATATTTTACAAATCGAAGTATACAAGTATTAAGGTTTGACTTACTTGATTTAAACTCCTATGTCCCCGTAGTAAGGGAGAGAGCGTCCCCAGTGCACATTAAGGTTTATAAATGTTGTATTATTTATGAAGCTGACTGTACTTCTAGAGAAATTTTATTTTTCTATATATTATTTTATATTCATTTATTTCACTACCACAACATTAGTTCGAAAACATATTGTGTAAAAAAACAAAGATCACAACATGTTTTTCTACGGGAGTTTAGTAGTGGAAACTCAGTGGAATTTGGGCTTTACAGTAAGCATGTTGACACAAGAAATTCCTATATGAATCGTAAAAGCAGACTAACGGAATTTATCTAGATCAATATATTAATATTTACGCAATATTTGTCTAACTGTTTTATTGAATGTAGGATACATAACGAATTTTCTACGGTAAAGTCACGAATATGTATTTATAGTTATTTATAACTAGGTGTCGCCCGCGACTCCGTCCGCGCGGAATTAGAAAAAAACTTAATAAGTAGCCTATGTGTTCTTCCAGACTATGTTCCATATCTCTACCAAATTTCATTAAGATCCATTGAATCCTCCCGGAGATACCTTCAAACATACATCCGTCTAAACTTTAGCATTTATAATATTAGTAAAATATTTAATATCGTATAGTGATCTTAAACTGATTTCCACTTGGAGACTAATCGCTGGACTCTGCACTTTAATGTAATGAGACATGCGACTCCATAAAAACGCATCGGTCTTGTTGCATAGTCAGTGGAAATACACTTAACCGCATGCAACAACGGCCGAAGTCTGAGAACCGGTCAGGGAAGTGGAAATATTTGGGTTATCTCGTGCCAGTGCCGCGGTTACCCACTTTACAATGTTTGTGGGCTACTCTCGCTTACAATCCTTGACATTGAGTTAGGATTTTAAAAAACATCCTCCTACTATGTTTGAATAAACATATATATTTTTAATATTTGTAGATATTATTATTTTTATTAAGTTAAAACAAGAGGAAGAACTATTTTTGTCATTTAAAATATCCTAATCTTACTATGGATGGATGTATGTAAGAAGTTATGTCAAGAACGGCTCAACGGATCTGTATTTGGCACAGATATAAGAATATAGTCTGGAAGAACTCATAGGCTACTTTTTTTTTTTATTTCCGCACAGACTGAGTCGCTTACCTCACAGGTACTCGCTTAGGCTCACTGGCGACAGTTGATGTTTACAACATGCCAGTTGTATGCCAGCGCTGATTTTAAGCAATACTGTCCTAATGTAAACCAGGAATTAATTTAGCTATAAAAATAGGAACTTACATGTAGTCAATTCAAGCAAAAAGTAGAGGAAAGTATTGTACTTCCAAATTATAGATAATAAAACTATATTTGTTCGAGATCTTTTCTTTCGAGAATCTTTTAAGTGAAATCCGGTTAAAAATTTCGTAAACTCCATATGAATAAGAATCACTTTACAGTAGGTATTGATATTTTTATCCACAGACTTTAAAAATGCTAACGCATTCATTGATATGCGAGGAAGCGTTCAGCCCACTTTTTACTCTGTATTTTTTGGGTGAAATCATACAAGTATAGTCAGATTAGTAAACAAAAGAACTAAAGAATTACTTTTTCATTCAGAATCGAGTTTGGTATGTACTCTACACTAAAAGTATTCTTAGTGACGAATGATTTGAGTGCTGGAACTAAACAGCAACATGAAGCATTTTTCCAAGTTAAAAAGTTTACAAAAATTAGATTTTGATTTGAAACATATAGTTTAGTTCCCTTAGCAATTGGTTCCGTTTACCCAGTTGCGTGCTAGCGTGAATATATACGGTTATATGCATGGTGGCAAGTGAAGCAACACCGTTTCTAAGCTATGGATCATCGAATCTAATTGTTTTCATACTGCTTTCTACGACGCTGTAAATTTAATTTGAATTAATTTAATAGGTTTTCTTTTTTTATTTATACCCTTTTGATGCTGCTCAGTGTACATATATGTATGACAACTTTAAAACTAATATTTATTTTCTAGTTAAAACATATTAGTATCGTAAGTATAATTTGACTACATTCAAAGGCCCTATATACTCATATATGTACATACATATTGTTAAGTCCTTTTTGAAGTATGGAGTATTCTAAAAAAATGGATGATAAAGCTTTAAAATCGATTTAGTTCTTAATCTTTCATACCGATTTTGTCAACGTATAAGCATTTATAAAGATCCGTTTTCATTATACTAAAAATATAGGATGTGGTTTGTAAAAAAAACTATGAAGAAACCCGGACGCTTTCCTTACGGGGTGTAGAATCAAGGCCGGCCAACGGGGGCAAGTCAGAAAAAACTAAACAAACCAGCCCCAGGCCTGGCTTTAATACAATAACATCGATAATCGATATCTGTTCAAAATTGACCAATCAATACTTTTAAAAAATTTATTATAACTGATAAGCTTAACACACAATTAAGTGTTTTGTGTGACATTGTATTTAATTAAATAGTACAAATTCTTACCTTTAATTATTATTATATCAGCTGTTTGAATCACAAAAGTATGCTAAAAGCAACAAGCACTAATTTTTTTTACACGTTATACCAACTTTCACATTTTACAATCCACTGACACACGAGTTCCGTATACAAAAAACAGTCAAGCAAACATTTTACCAATTTTAATTATGTCTGACACAAATAATTTAATTCTCATTTAACAATCACAAATATTTTTCTCAATAAGAATTTTTAAATACAAGCGTCGAACTAAAATTCTATAATGTTCAAACATGCGCGCGCAGTAATGGCCGATACGGACTGCCGCGTTTCGAAGACTTCACACAAGTCTTGAGAGGAAAAGAGATGAAATATATGATTGTCGTACTGAAGAAAGTGATAGCTATACGTGTAGTGTAGCGGGAACTTTTTTCTCCTTTCGCGCGTCAACTTTCTAAAACATGATGATTTTTGTCATATATTACACATCTTGAAAGGATTATTTTCTTTGTATTCACATAACATAATTTAAAATACACATATCACTCTAGGCACTATAATACAAAATAAAAAAATCGTAATTTTGTAAATTACATTTTATAGCTCTAATTGCTTTTATATTTGTATTTACTATTAAATGCAAAGATATCAGTGTCTTAAAAACATTATATTTCATTAAAAGTATTAAAATATTTGCGTTACAGCTTGCAATTTGTAATTTACTAATTCACGTTTGGTTAACATGGCTCGTTGGTCTAGGGGTATGATTCTCGCTTCGGGTGCGAGAGGTCCCGGGTTCAAATCCCGGACGAGCCCGGCTATAATGCTTTTTTTTGTGTTTAGTAAAAAAATTCACTAGTAAAGAAGAAATATTTGAATTATATTTTTGCAGATACGAAAAACAATTTTCTAAGACTTAAAAAAATAAGATAATATTTTATAACCAATTTAAACATACTTAATTACTCACAAACACAGCGGTAGATCTCACTGAATTAAAACAAGTAAATTCCTTGTTTTAGTAATTTGAGTGGTGCCGAGGATCAGAAATAGAAAGTCAAAATATTTTATTAGTATAAGTTTGAAAAATTTTCGCTTCAACAAATATTTATTACTGCCCTCTACGATATATTTTAGAATTGCAAGTTTGAATTACTATTGTTTTGCAGAAATTCTTTGGTAGAAACATAGATGTCAGGCTTGTTTACAAGTAAAAAGCAAATACAACCCTACCGGTTTAAATAAATTACATCTCTTCGCAATATTGTAGAAGGGACGATGTTGGTAATTTTTGGTTGGCTTATACACGACAGGTGTTCGGCTTACAACCCCTCCTCTTGCCTCAGAAAACATAACTGACAAAACTAAATAATTTACGAAAGAAACTTTTGTAATAAAATTTATTTCATATAGTGTACAAAATGTAATAAGAATTTAACTAAGATCTCTATAATTTACGTGGTTTTGTGTGCAGTTTAACAGATTAAGTGTTTATCATAGAAACATTAAAATAAATTTTAACATAATGTCAGGTGCAAGTACAAGCACAACTACCCAAAGTCCTCCGGCTATTGCCTCAATCAACGATGTTAGTGCTCTATTTCAAACCGCAAAGAAGTATGAAGAACTAAATGTTATAGGAACAGGTATATTTATTATTTTATAACCTACTAATGCCATGTGCCGGCGAAGTTCATCTCGCGCATTTTTTGTTTGTAATCATTGTCATTTCAATAAAAATAAAAAAATACTTAAATTGGATTGTTAACTAACGTACACTTTAAATATATGATTGTTGTTTATTTAGCACCAGAAATACAATATTGCTTTTAAAGTTTATTATAAAAACTTGGTCCAAAAAGCTTTCTTACCCGTTCTAAGTTCAAGAGATAACATTGTATGTAATCTTGTTTTTTCAGGTGCTTATGGCACAGTGTATAAAGCCAGAGATTTGCACAATGGAGGTCAGATTGTGGCCATGAAGAAGGTTAAAGTAGCGTTAACCGAAGATGGCATACCTCTTTCTACATTAAGAGAAATTGCCCTTTTGAGACAACTAGAAGCTTATAGACATCCAAACATAGTTCGGTGAGGGTTTATTTTTTATATTGGTCATTACCTGTTTTCCTTTTTTCCCAACTTATTATTATAGTGATATAAACTCAATAAATAATTTATTTTTGTATGTCTGACCTTTAGAGTGACATAATGTAAGTATAGTTTTATGTATATTTATGCAATGTATTATGTGTGTAGTCTATTGCAGTTAAATGAATTTGTTAATTTAATGAATTCTACAATGCAAACCATATAAAAACATAAAGTTATCACTCTTACTCTCATTGAAAGAATAGAGATAGCAATTTGTTTAATATGCATGTTTTTCACCACCTGAATAACAGGTTTAATTATTACTTTTTTGTTTTCAGGTTGCTAGATGTATGTCATGGTGGTCAGTCAGTTGACCGTGATCATCAGTTGGTGCTGTTCCTTGTATTTGAGCATGTGGAACAAGACCTGGAGTCTTACTTGAAAAAAGCACCGGGACCACTTTCCGAGAATAGAATAAGGGTAAGGTTAATTTAGTATTACAATCCATATGATGAAGAGTTATATCTTTCATTAGATCTCGTAAGAGACATAACTATTTTGTTTGAGGGGTGAATTTTTTTTTACTAGCAGTCCCCTGCTATTTCATCTGTGCAGAATTAAAAAAAACTTAATCAGTAGTCTATGTGTTCAGAGTATGTTCTACATCTATGGTAAACAGTGACCCATGCAGCCACTCTAGAGATACCTTGCAACAAACATCCATCCAAACATTCGCATTTATAATACTAGCATGATATGACTGGACCGTGGTCTGCTAGGGGGCCGGGCTAGTAGTTTTTTGAGATCTAGGCACCCCTATAGGAATAGACTCAAGGCCCTCGGGGGGATTGTAATGATTGTATGAACAAGTAATTGTCAATATTAATATGCTTTGTACAACTGCAAATTACCATTAAAAATTTGCATGAAAACATTTATGAAGCTGTAGACCAGTCTTTCCCAATGTGGGCGATAACGCCCCCTTGTGGGCGCTGCAGGTCTCAAGTTGCGGGTTATAGTAAAAGTTTCCTTTACAATTCTCCGTTATTATACATATATAGGTCACAATAATTAATTAATTTAATTTGAAGTTATAGTGGTTTTTAAATATGTGAAAATATGGGGGCGCTAAAAAAATATTTATTCTCCAAGTGGGCGGTAGACAAAATAAGTTTGGGAACCACTGCTGTAGACCAAGCTGAATTTTTTCTTTGTTATTTTTCAGAGTATGTCCTACGACATTTTATGTGGTGTGGACTTCCTACATTCGCACCGCATCGTGCACCGCGACTTGAAGCCACACAACTTGCTGGTGACAGCCGCTGGTCGGGTCAAACTGGCTGACTTTGGTCTTGCCAAGACTTATGACACCGAGATGAAACTCACCAGTGTTGTGAGTATAGTATCTGTTCTATATTTATACTTTGCCATATCATAAACATGACCCTAAGATATCTAATTTAGAGATCCTCAATTTTTTCACCCTTCTTTTGAACCCTTAATATTGTACATTCACTGGGCCTATGGAGAACTGTATATATTGGTCAAGATATCCTGCTCTTCATGCTTGAATAATTGTCCTTTCTTCACTAATTGTCAACATAAATTCAAACAATATTAAACATCCAGGTGGTGACACTCTGGTACCGTCCACCAGAGGTTCTGCTCGGAGTCTCATATAATACAGCGGTGGACGTGTGGTCTTGCGGGTGCGTGTTGGCACAGCTGCATACCAGGTCTCCCCTTCTGCCAGGCTCCTCTGACTCCGACCAGCTCCATTGTATATTCAGGTAATTGTTATGTAGACATTCTTGAAATATGGGTGCTTTTAAAGTGAGAATGACTCATGAAGTGTGTAAGCTCGTTAAGTGAAAAGTTAGGAACAAGTTAGATAGATGGGAAATGCATTCTCTATGTAGTACTTAATGTTTTAAATATATATTACGGTAGAGGAATAAAATATAGACATTTGTGAAGTAGACTTACTCGTCTTAATGTTAATTAAATATTTGTAACATTTCAGACTGATAGGCAGACCGCCGCGTCAGGAGTGGCCTGACAATGTGTCAGTGGTGGCTGACAGCTTCCCCCCGTACCCCGCGCGAGACCTCGCGGATATACTGCCTCGTGCACATCCCAATGCTGTAAATATGATAAAGGTATGACTATTCATTCATCATTACCTCACTATATGTCCATACTGAGGGCTCGGAGCCTATCCTAAGTTAGGTGACTAGGATATAGTCAGCGCTGGCCCAGTGCGGGTTGATTTCACATATATCTTTGAATTTTTTCTCAGATATGTGCAGCATCACATCTTTTCCTTCACCGTAAGAACTTCGAATAAACATATGTAAATCGAGAATCGAACCCAGGACCTGCAGATTACAAGTCAAATGCCTAATCACAGAGCCACCGAACATATCAATGTATACATACTATTTCAAATAATATCTGACATGTGGATTGTATGTAAACTCGCATTTATCTGTAAAATATATAACGGCTATTATACACTATCAAATTTAATTTTTACACATTTAGTTGTTGTGTATGTATATTTCCTTGTGATTAGCCTAAATATAATTTATCATAGATGTTAAATAATAAAGTAAACTTTAGTTTTTGTTTTTCTTTTCAGGGTATGCTTGTATTCGACCCAGCGAAGCGTCTAACAGCACTTGACTGTCTGGAACATCCATACTTCACAGAGGAACCTCTCACGTAGACCCCCTAAGGAGGTCATTACCACTTTCAGGAGGTTAACGTAGGACTAATCGAAATTCATTGCTAATTATTTTTTTAATAATAATTGTAGAAATTATGTTTTTTTTTTTCAAAATGGCAGCGAGGTTTTATTTTGGATCTGTAAATAAATGATTTAATTCTTTTAAAAATTACAATTAGACATTTTTAATTATTAATTTTGTTGCCGAATTTTACGATATTTGTTTACTTTTTAATCAAAAATATAAAAAAAATAAAGATCTCAAAAAATTATATCTTTAATACAATATTGTATAATTATGAGAACAATAAAGTAAAATTAATACATAATATAGTATATAAGTTAAATTAAGTATAAATAGATATAAGAATAAATCAAGCCCACCAGTAAAAATATAAATAAAAAAATTAAGTTTTTTAAACTAAATTTTCTTAAAGACAAACTCAAAGAAAATTTAGCGTTTATGTTTTAAGTGTAAACTATTGTCTTAGTACATTTAACTAAGTACAATATTTTGGATTATTGTCCATACTAAAGTTAATTAAGACATTTTATACTCATAATCAATTATTAACAGAACCTTACTGTTTTCATTAACTGTCTAAAAACATTGTTAGTACGTTATTCCAGTACAAACCATAGACAAACTGCTAAAACAGAAATCTTACTAATATAAATGCGAATGTATGGATGTTTGTAATAAGGTACCTCCAGAACGGTACACAGATGTAGAACATAGCCTGGCTGAACGTTTAGGCTACTTCTTTCGTTTTTTTTTAAATTCCGGACGGAGACGCGGACAAAAACTTGTTTGTAATAATTGTAATTACGTAACAGCTTTAATATATTTCTGATAAAACACTTTCGCAGTATGTCTTAATAATTTTCTCAAAATAACTGGAAAAAATAAAATGGCCGCCATGTTGATTGACGCCATGATGGATTTGACATTTCAATATTTACTTAATTTTGGCTCTGAATTGATACGATGTACATTTTTATGGTTACTTTAGTTTTTTTTTTAGTCGTCAGTTTGTTGGTATTTTGAGAAAATAATGTTGATAAAATTTCAATTTGTGTTGTATAGTAGGATATTTGAATGTGCATATGATATGCGTATTGTGTTGTTCCTTTTGTATGAATGCCAAATAAAATTATTTTTGTATTGATATTGTTGATTTCTTTTAATTATACCTTTTTGTTGCCAATAAAGTATATCGTAATTAAATAGTGGCTTGTACAGTTCCTTTATAAATAAATAAATAGACCAGTCTGAGAGTTGTGTAATGTTACTCGATGTCACTATTCCACATCACGAGAATCTCGTGAAAGCTGAAAAGGAAAAATTGTTAAAACATCTAGATTTGGTTCACGAGGTTACCGCCATGTGGTTTATGAAATCGACTACCATTATTCTGATCGTCTTATCGGTGAATGGATTGATAACGAAGAGTTTCGACCAACATCTCAAGAAGCTCTCGCTAAACAGTTGGATTAAGGGCCCGATACAAAAGGCTGTTATTCTAGAAACCGCGCGCATCGTGAGAAGGTTCCTCTTCTTCTCTCGGCAGCCCTGACCACTGGTTGTTTGAGTCATGGGATTCCGCAGCCGGTGGTGCTCTATTTTTAATATATAATATATTTTGTATAATTTTTCTATTTTGTATATGAAATGTAACATATTCAGAAAAAGATAAAAAATGAATACGTCAATAAAGTAAATAAATTGTAACCTTCAATACATACTATTACATACACTGTATGTGTAATTATCAGAAAATAAAAGAAACAATGTTATTATAGTATGTATCGTAATTAGAATTTCTTTTAATCATCTAGGCAAAGTACAAATTAGCTTTAACAGCTTTTAAACGAGTTAACCCCTTGGTGAAGATTTAATATTAACCATATGTTTTAAACGGAGATTTTGGTCTCAGAAAACCGCGGTTACTGAATGACTGTGCAGAACAATGTGAAAATATCACGTGATAGCGGCTGTGATCTTGAACGATTTTATCACACAAGTGAATAATTAACGATATCTCGTCACGTTTTTATAATAAAATAATGAAAGTTGGCACAAACTCGATTACCGAGTGACATGAATTTGCAGGTTAGAATCTAACTAATATCATAAATGCTAATGTTTGTATGGATGTTTCTTAGAAGATATCTCTGCAACAGTTGCATGAATCCAAAATTAAAATAGATGTAGAACATAGTCTTATAGACTACTAATTAAGTTTTGTTTTATTTCGGGAGGACGAAGTGACGGCGTTAAGGGCGACATCTAGTTTTCTCATAATGAACATTTTTTTTAATTTGCCAATTAAATAGTTAAAAGTTATAGCAGTCATTTTAGCTATGATTGTTTAATTGTTTACTCATCCTGTTAATATTGCATGATCGTGCGTTTTTTTTTAACTAAAACAAAGCAAGTAACGATGTTAACACGGAAGCAACAGCTCACGAATTAAAGCAAATGCGTTCGATGTTTCCGACAATATTCCTTGTGTATATTCTACTTAGCTACTTACTTTAAAAAATAAGTTTAATTATCTAGTATTTTATAATAGTTATAATTGTTTATTGTGCCAAAAAAATTCTACTTTCAAGCAATTATATTTAACAATGTCTCAACTGGCTTAGGACCATAAGGATATAAGTGGTAACTTTTTCTGTCCGTTAGATTGTGTATACCTTTATCTTTGGGCCAAATATTGCCTAAACAGATGTAGAACTTTACCAAAAACGAAAATATAAATTATTTACATCTATCATATACCTCTTTGCATCAATAACCATTGAGTCTTATTACTGTACTGCGTTCATAAACAAGGCCGTCTCAATAAAATTGCTTCAAACATTAGTCAGAGATCTCAACAATTTAATTGAAACATCGCTTTTAAACAAGAATAACACAAGCTTGCAATAACAGCGTAGCATAAATCGGCTTATTATACAGAAAAAAGCGTTAGTTAATAATATGCCTACTAAAAATACGGAATTTTTAACGAATAATATTGAGCTTAGTTAGTTTTTTGAAAATATGCAATAAAAAAAACTGACCAACATATTAAAAACACGTATACGATCAACCTATAGTTTTAGTAAAAATATCTTGACTATGACTACATTTCACATTTTAAATAAAAAAGATAATTTAAAAGTGTCAATAGTACTGGTCTTAAAATGATTTTTTTTTGCTGCCAACATAAGAATGTGTGTAATGATACCATTGTAATAAAAACATGTTTTAACAAGGAAATTATAATTTTATTCTTAGCTTATTTATTTTCAAATTTTAGTGTGAATCTGCCGCCGATAGTTCAATAACTAATGTCTTAGTTTAGATGATTAATAAAAATAAGTGAATTATTGCATACTATACACAATACCCATATCAACACAATAACGGCCATTATTCAGAAACAATAGTCGTCCGAACCCACGCAGTTCATTGGTCACATAAATTATAATGTTATCGAGAAAAAAAAATATTACTCAAACAATTGCCTAAGAGTTTCCAATCTCCAAAGCAATCGATTAAAGCATGATGGAAGTTTATTTAAGGCCGTAATAATTACAGTTGTATTGTAATTGAGATGCATTTGCCTCGGTGGTGAGGTTGTACCTATAGCGAATTTTTTTGTAACAATTTTTAAATGCACCCGTCACTGACGAGTAGTGGAAATGAATATTAGATTTATAGAAGAAGAAGAGTGTCCTCTTCTCCTATACAAAGAAGCGAAACGGAGGAATGAGTAGCGCGTCGTCCAATATGTATTGATCCGCTTATGCGATGCTGGCCTTTAATTTTAAACTCTTATATCAGAAGCGTTAATAAAATAAAAGTTGGTGTCTTCGCAAATCGATTAACATGGGATTTAAGTCTTTAATAAAATTCAGAACATAGTTTCAATTCTAGTTTTTATTTAGTACAAAATTCATAAAAAACAAGAGAGCTATAAAATAATTAACATTTGTTATGATTATCGTGGAGTGAGAAATCTTATATTTTCTGTTAAGATTTCTAGCATGATATGGTATCCAACTATATCCCAGGATTAAACATTTTTATACTGAAGTAAAAAAAATTATACACAACTTTTATGACACGTAACGAAACATAAAAGAGTACTAACTATAAAAACTAGCAAGACTATAAAAATAATATTAGCATAAAGTTTTCACAGTCTTCAATAATAAATAAAAATTATTTATAATTTAGCACAATTTGTGCTTCAATGTGAAGTCCCTAATTACGTCAGCAAACACTTTCTACACAAACATCGTCCCGCGCAATGATCCGATCTCCATTTCACGCTTTATTAATTATTCTGAGTATTTTCGCTTATTTCTTCAGTCGCTTGTTTGTCCCCATCATCTGCTGTAACGGAATCTTTTGTTTTCTTCCCGGCAAAATTAAAAATCTTCTCAAAATTTATCGTATTCTGATTGTAAATCGTATGATCTGGTGTATCACCCCAACTTATTGGCGTCATTCTATCTTTAACCTCTGGTTGTGTTGTTTCTTGCACGTTTATATCAATGCTGGCGACCTCTGGGATGGGATTCAACACTGCCTCCGACTGGACGCTAGGAGTTCGCATATCCGAATTCGAAATTCCCTCCAACGATGCGCAACGATTCAAAAAGTTCAACATTCTCTCCTTATAAAACTCCGAACTGGTCTCAGTGTTTTGCTTTGCTTTGTTGTTTTGATTCTTCAAATAGAAACCGTTATCGCTTTGAGCCAAAAAGATTCTCTTGATTTTTTTACTCGGGTAATGTTCTATCAAATCCGGTTTGGGCGGTAGAAGCTTACCGTTTCTTGGTATTTTACTGGTATTATTACCTTTAATAGTCGTCACCACGGAAATGCAGTTGCCTCTTCTTTCGTTATCATCCTCTTTGTAGTTATTTCTCATGCCCTTATAAGATATTTTCACGCTTAGAATAGACCAGAGTAGCTCGAGGAACGCCGCGATCAGTATGTTTATAGATAGAACACGTTTTGTAAACAAATGAGAATCCTCTTCTTTGGCTGTGGACGCGTTGTTAGCTATGATCATATGAGATTCGTTCTTATCTATAATATCCGTGTGCTTCACCACAAT